TACAGTCCTGTAACGAAGCCACCGTTCTCGTTCAGTCTGACCTGCACCAGTCACCATATAGCGCCCAACTTAGCTAACTCACAGCGCCAGATGATCTACGATATGATAGCCAGCAGAGAGCTCACTACCCCGCAGATGGCCGAAGCAGCTGGCTGCAGCGTCCGCGCCATCAAGTACATCCGTGCAAACATGCGTCACTTTGGCATTGTTACAGGGCCGTGGGATGGCGGCGGACGCCCTCGAACCATCACCCCCCAATGCTCGATGCCCATTTTAGGCATTCTGGCTGGACCATCGACGAGGTCTAAATGCATTCCTATCTGGACTCGACATTAAGTATTAACCTTGACATTGATGATTTCTTTAACGGTAGCTTATGTCTCTCAATCTCGGTTTCCCCCAAACATAGTGCCATGAACTCCGCCGTTGATCACACCGGTTTGCAAGCCAGAGTTCTGATTGCCAAAAGTTACACTGCCCACTGTGGTTGAACCAACCTGACCCTTTGCGGCTGCTTTGGCAACTGCTTCTTCCTGAGCCCTAGACAACAGCTCGTCTAGTAGTCTCCGCGATGCGACTATCGCTTTGCGCTCCTCCTCATACTGCTGCAACGCTTTCGCTTTGTCTTCATCAGGCCCGACTGCGACTTCATCGTCGCTGCTGAGACCCAGCTCTTCCAGCTTATTATCCAAAACGATTAACTGTCTGTCTGTCGCGGTAATTGCACTCTTTACTTCCTCCTGTTTCTCAGAAATCGTCTTCTTGATGTCCTCAGTAATGTGGCTATGACGCACAGAGCTATACCTGTAGGACAAATAAGTCACACTTGTTGAGTCGAATCTACTTAGTTAAAGCTATTACTTACAGAGTTGCTATGCTCACAATTGAATTAACGGTTAGTTTACAGTTTTGGAGCTGCTCAGACATCGCCTTGATTTGCCCTTGCTTGAAGAGTCCTACTTTCGCGCGATCTTGCCACTCCAGTTTCCCATCCTCTGAGTGCCTGGTCCATCGTTGAAGGTCGGTCCGGAAGAGAGAGCATGCTTGCGCGCAGCTGCTGATTGTCCTCTCTGACTCTTTACTAACATCTGAGCCAAGCAACTGCCACTCCCTATACTCTACGCTTTGGAGAAGGCTAAGCGCTGCATCAACAGAGTGGACGTCCTCTAGCAGGCGCCTAACAGTCTTTGGTGCGTCTTTGAGCTGCTGTAGGTCATTTAGAAGTAGTCGTACGCCTTCTAAGGCTGGCGCAGTGATGCCCACGACTGCGGCTGTAATGCTAAGTGGGTCGGCCATTGTGGGTCTGACGGCGATTGAGGAATCAGCAAGGGTAGAAATGCTGAAGTAGAAGTCAGACTTAGGGGGAAAGAGGATAGAGCAAAGCTTGTTAGCTGACAGAATTTGTATGAGGGGAAGCTGGGGCTGAGAGCCGAGAGCTGAATCACATGAGGCTGGGTACGACTGGACTGTTACTACAGACAGCCTACTCGACTATCGCATACCTTACAGCTACACTATGGCGCTAACGGCATCCTTTGGCGATATGAACTACGGCGTCCAGGCCGGCATTATTAATGGTGATGTAAACCCTATGATCAACCTTCCGCCTGGTGAGTTGCGAGCCGATCGGAGGTTAACAGCGTCAGACCCAGCGCTAACCTGCGGGCCTCCGCCTAGAGCGACGCGAAACTCCACCACAGCCATCCATCGTGATACCTTTCGCGCGAGACGCAGATTTTGTCGACAGAGGCACACTACTCGACGAGATCTGTGAGCGATGCGCGCAGCCAGACGCGAGGCAGGCGATTGTTGGCCTAGGCGGGGTGGGGTAAGCAGCACGAGTGCTTCTTGGACACGAAACACGATACACTGACAGATGCGCAGTAAGTCACAGCTAGCGATCGAGCATGCCTACCGCACGCGCGAGCAGTCGTTAGAAACATGGGTGTTTTGGGCCCACGCTAGCAACGCCGCCCGGCTGGAGCAGAGCTTTCACGATATTGCCGACCGCGTCAAGATCGTAGGACGTCAAGAATTGCAAGCCAACATCTTCAAGCTGGTGCACGACTGGCTGTGCGACAGCAAGCAGCCATGGCTGCTCGTGCTAGACAACGTGGACGATGCCAGCTTTCTACTCGAGGCCCAACCTGCTAGCTCCAAGACCGCAGCTAGACCGCTGCGCGAGTACCTCCCCCACTGCGAGCACGGCTCGATGCTTATCACATCGCGAAGCAAAGAAGCGGCGAGGAAGCTGGTAGAGCAGCGCGACATCATCACGCTGGGCTCGATGGACGAGGCGCAGTCGCTGGCGCTGCTTAGAAAGAAGCAGGGAGTGCAAGCGGACAAGAGCAACGATGCTGAGCTGGCGGAGCTGGCGGAGCTAGCTGCAGCGCTTGAGTACATGCCGCTCGCCATCACCCAGGCCGCTGCGTACATCTCGCAGAGAGCGCCACTGTGCTCGGTGGCACAGTACCTTGACCAGTTCAAGAAGAACGAGTGCAGGCGGACGAGCCTTCTCACCCGTGACGGAGGCCATCTTCGGCGAGACCGTGAGGCGAAGAACTCAATCATCACGACGTGGCAGATCTCCTTCGAGCACATACAGCAGACGCGGCCATCAGCTGCAGACCTGCTATCGCTGATGAGCTTCTTCGACCGCCAGGGGATTCCCAGGAATGTGCTGCAGACGCAAGCTACACATGAAGATGGCGAAGCCAATCAAAAGGTTGATGAGGCCGAGGCTGAGGCTGATCGTAATGAGGAAGACGATAGAATGCAGTCTGAATGCCAGGTCAGAGACATTGAGGAATATTTTGACGACCACCCCAAAAACGGACCTGAAAATATCCCCTCGCACGACTCATCGGATGACTTTGCAGACGACGATTCTGAGGACGACGATTCTGAGGACGACGATTCTGAGGACGACGATTCTGAGGACGACGATTCTGAGGACGACGATTCTGAGGACGACGATTCCGAGGACGACGGCTCGAGAGACGATACTTTCTATGAAGACATTTCAGCGCTGCGCAGCTTCTGCTTCATCTCCGTAAACAACGACGGCATGACCTTTGAGATGCACGCCCTTGTGCAGCTATCAATGCGTACCTGGCTTGCGGCGAACGGAAAGCTAGAGCAGTGGAAGCAGCACTTTATCAATAGCCTTTGCGCAGCGTTCCCAACAGGAAACTATGAGAACTGGGCAGCGTGTAAGCGCTATTCGCACACGCTAAGGCGGCAGCTGGCCAGAAGCCAGAAGCGACATCCTCGCTAATAGAGTGGGCTACGCTACTATATCGTGCAGCATGGTATGCAGAGAGCAAAGGAAGCGCAGCAGAAGCAGAAACCCTAGCAATACAGTCAATGAAGGTACGAAAGATGGTCTTAGGGCGAGAGCATGAGGACACAGTATGGAGCATTGCAATGGTGGCAGATGCTTACTCACTTAGTGGACGATGGGACGCGGCTGGAAAGCTGAGGGCGCAAGTAATGGAGACTTGCAAGAAGAAACTGGGAGCGGACCATCCAGACACGCTGACCAGCATGGGTAATCTGGCGTTGACTTACCGGAATCAAGGGCGGTGGGATGCAGCAGAGGAGCTGTTTGTGCAAGTAATGGAGACGAGCAAGAAGAAACTAGGAGTGGACCATCCAGGCACGCTGACCAGCATGGGTAATCTGGCGTCGACTTACCGGAAGCAAGGGCGGTGGGATGCAGCAGAGGAGCTGTTTGTGCAAGTAATGGAGACGAGCAAGAAGAAACTAGGAGTGGACCATCCAGGCACGCTGACCAGCATGGGTAATCTGGCGTCGACTTACCGGAAGCAAGGTCGGTGGGATGCAGCAGAGGAGCTGGAGATACAAGTGATGGAGACGAGCAAGAAGAAACTAGGAGTGGACCATCCAGACACGCTGACCAGCATAGGTAATCTGGCGTCGATTTACCGGAATCAAGGGCGGTGGGATGCAGCAGAGGAGCTGGACGTGCAAGTGATGGAGACGAGCAAGTAGAAACTGGGAGTGGACCATCCTTCCACGCTGACCAGCATGGCTAATCTTGCTTGGACATGGAAAAGCTTAGAGAGAAGTGCTGAAGCTATAGGCTTACTGCAGGAGTGCGTTCATCTTCGCTGTCAGACTCTTCGAGCAGGGCATCCTGATCTAGTATCTTCTCAGGAAACCTTAGCTGCATGGGAAGTAGAGCAAGCAGGTAGAAATCTTGCGATGAGTTAATAATTCTGCTCTATAATATACGCACTTATTACCTTCTTAAGGCTGCGCTTACTATGGAATGTATTAGAAATGTACTTGACAGCAGTCGAAGAAGTTGCAAGATTAGCACGAGTCATGTTGATACTTGCAAAGCTAAAACCTTAACGTTAATACTGATGCACCGGTCATTCGCTCTGCATACAAGGAATATCCTTGCGCAACAAGGATCTGATAAAATCTGGGAACGTGCCAAAGGTGAGACCGTTTTTGCAGGGTACTGTATCCTGTTTGTCCTGTTTGCAACTTTGCAACGTAAGTTATGTTCCTTAAACAGCTGACATAGCAAACACGCTAGCTATAAACAGTACCTGCTTCGCTCCCAAGTACTACGCGCGGTGGCAATTCTGCACAAATCTCTGTGTTGCACTAGAAGTAGAGCTGATAGTGACGTCTAAGTGGCTGGAGTATGATTAGAAGCCTAGAAACGCTTAAATAGGACGTATTGGGGCTACACGGGCAGCAGGATGACACTGCTTTCGGAAACTCCTTTCTGCTTCGCAAACGTGGACCTGCTGGAAGGAAGGCGCTAGGGCAACAATGCAGAAGTAATATTGGAATAGGAACAGTGCGTTACAGAGAGCAGAAGCTATAGTACCTGTGACATATCACAAATAGCTTAAAATCAATGCATATCTAAGGTAGTGAGCCAGCCAAGTCAAAGTACCCCATGGACTTTTCGGCACGGCGGGTTTTTCGTTACGCAGGGACGGACGTTATATACATTGCGTACAAAGCATCTCTGAATTGTGCAGTAGACTTTTACAAATAGATAAAGTACACAGTAGCTCCACCGACAAATATCAACGCTAAACATATCAAGTGTTGTATGGCCGCGAAACAGCAAAGCTGTGCAGGTAGACAACAAAAGGATCGACAACATGGTGATGAATGATGTATTTTTCTATCTTCTCACTAGCCATAGAAGCAGACGTATTCGATAAGCACCTTAAAACAAAATCTGCCCTAATTCTGCCAGATTTGCGGTTCCAGTCTGATTATTTGTCGAATCCTTTTCGGCATGGCGGGTTTTTCGTTACGCAGGGACGGACGTTAGAAGGTAAGATGTAAGACTTAAAAATTGACACTTAAATATAAAAGTCGAAAATCTTGGCACGTTAGTTACAAAATATTGAACACCTAACGCATTACAAAATCCTGAAACAAGAGACACAGATTCTAAATGCTGTAATCAATAGCTCTTCTCGAGGTCAACCTCAGATCTCATTCGACACTCCTTTTGCGGGTCTCCTCCCTTCTACTATAGCATCCTGTTCGTGAACACGAGTCCAGTCCTTGATTCTGTATCGGTTTTCTTTGTAATGTGGGAATGTGAAGGTCCAACAATCAACAAGCTTCCCTCCATAGTAATTGCGTGAGTCACTACTTTGGTGAGGCTTTACAACGTTTTTGACGTTCCCCCAGGGGAATACTATCTCTATTGGTCCTTTATCAGGACGTATTGGCAGGTTTACTGTAAATATTGGGGCGAGATCCTTTATTCTTGTAACTGTGCCATCTATACCACGGATGTCGTTTCTTTGAACTGTCCGGATCTTCCTGTCTGCGTCTGTCCAAAAGCAATATTGAAGACCTAAAGTGTCTTCAGTCTTTTGAGAAATAAGGCGATGTGATTCCCAATCAGACGTGTAAGCAACTTCAGAACACATGCCGAAAACTCGCAGTGTGAGGCCTCTCCACCTAGATGTCCGTTTACCAGATGTCTGTTTGATAGATGTCCGTTTAAATTTTAGCAGCCCTGTATTCTTGTCCTTCTTGTATGGTCTTAAACTCTTCTTAAAGTTCTCTTTATCATAATAAAGATCGCCGCCATAATCCATTATACAGAGAATTATGTAAGGATTTCTCTTTTTGAAGTTGCTACAGAGGAGAATAGGTTGGACATTGTGATGAGTGACGGCATAGTCTAGCCATTTTCCATTATCGTTAAAAATGCGATTCCATATCTTCGAATGCTCAGGGGCTGGAGAAGGAGTTGCTTCTAGGAAGTCTAAGAATGAAGAGTTTGGTAGAAGTTTTGTAACTTCGTTCTTGAGTTCTTGAATATGAAACATCCTGTACAGCGCTTACTGCGGCTCTGAAATAGATGTTGTAGTACTGCAGAGGCGTTTTGTTTGTACTGAATCAGAGATAACATGTCTTTTAAATACTTCTTCTTAAAGATATTATTGGTAAGAGAGTTGAGGTGCAAAAATTGAGGTGCTACAATTGAGGTTGAAAGTGAGGCTTCCGTGCAAAAAATGGAGGGCATGAGAAAGTGCATGTATGTACTCTCCTTCCATGGCCATGAATATATATCCCACATTCCTTTCCTACCTTACAAGCACCTGCACATTCAATTAACACTCATTATGCCAACCAAGAGCGAATATTTAGCCTATAGATGGGGTCTTGCTAACTCAGAGGAGAAAGCAATACTGTATAAATCGCGAGAAGACGATCGATCGTTTTTTATTGAGCTTCAGCAGGGCTGTCGGAAGGACAACTTTTTCCTCTTTGACTTGTTAGATTCCACGCTATGGCCTGGATTAGTCAAACTTGATAGTATCATTCTGAATCGAGGCGACGAAAGCTTAGATACAATCTGTTCAGTACTTTCATCCCTGGCGGACCAGGATGCAGTAAGAGCATTTTACAGCATGCAACAAACGTCTACGCGCATTGCTGTTATGGAGGGACTACCTCTTGAAAGGAAGGAAGCTATTGCAAACAAGATAACGGAGTGTGAGATTAGCCGATGGGAATCGATTTCTGCAAACCCAAGTGACGAGAACGAATTTATGGTTACAAACAAATTCCTAGATCGCCTAAAAGATTCAGCCAAAGTATGCTCTTCCAACAACTGTATTGGCATGACAAGGGATTTTGAAGAGTACACAATTATAATAGTGTCAAAATGCTTAAGGCACTCCCGCCATTTAGCTTGCAGGTTCGGTCATAACTTCAGATCCTCATGTAATTATGTAGCAAAATAGACATTACTCGTAGCTATGACTAACTCAGAGTCATAATAACTCCTCTACTAACGTCCGTCCCTGCGTAACGAAAAACCCGCCATGCCGAAAAGGATTCTACAAATAGTCAGACTGGATCCTCCAATTCAATAGAATTAGGGTAATCTGAGTTTCAAGGTGTCGACCAAGTACGTCTGCTTCTACAGCCAGTAGAAACATAGAAAATTACATGATCCATCACCATGCTGTCAATCTTTTCGTCATCTACCTGTACGACTTCACCTATTCTAAAGCCATATAACGTCTATCCGCCTGTGGCGGGATACCCACCATGACGGAACAACTCCATCTAGTAACAGAATTGTACTCATTCTGCACCGTTTTCTTTACTTTTAGCATAATGAATCTGATTTTTGCTTTTTTCCCTATGCGTAGATTAGGGTAGATAGTAAAATCACAATGCTGGCAACCTCGTTGTTTATTGTTCTTGTTGATATCAACTTTGAAGTCTTAGCTGTTCACCCCTGTTAGGCCGTGAGCAACACAATTCTATGTAAATTCGGAGCATTTAAGCTATGGATCAATCAGCTAAGTATAACAATTTCATATCAGCAAATCCTCTGCAGTTGTGCGCCTTTGGATTTAAAGTATCTCCGTGCACAATAGGAATGCTTTCAAATTTAGTGTACACGAAGAGGCTTTGTCATGCTGTATTAAAATAATGCGCTAAACTATTTGCAGCTTATCCTAGCAGCAACGTGGCCTTTTCTATCTCTGATATCGTTGCTTCCTCTGGGTCTGCGTGGTGCTTCCGTTGGAAGACAATCTCATGGTTAGTAAATCATCATGGATCCAGCCAGCAAAGCCCTAGCAAAGTCTCTCCCTCCTGGCGTGCGTAGAACCTACTCTGCCCTAGCAGAATACAGTGGTGTTCCTCGCACCACGCTGTGGTATCGTGAAAAGCGAGAACGACGCTCAAGAGCAGCAAAAGCCCAATCCCAGCAGTACCTTACTCCTCCAGAGGAGAAAGCCCTTGTCGATTTTCTCCTACGAATGGCTTCTTTTGGGTCACCTGTACGCATCAAATACATACCTTCGCTAGCTTTTAGTATTGCCCGCCGCCGATCTACTAAGAAGGCGCTCAAGCCCCCAGGGAAGAACTGGCCTCAAGCATTCGCAAAGCGTCATACCGAACTGGAAAGGAGAAGGACTAGGGCAATGGATTGGAATCGCCATGATGTCAATATATATAACAAAGTTGCACATTGGTTTGACGTGATAGAGCGGGAACTTGGTAAACCGGATATCAAGCCAGAGAATGTCTATAACATGGATGAGACAGGCATCATGCTTTCTATGCTGGGCTCTGTCAAAGTCCTTGTAGGTAAGAATGACCGCCGAGATTACCGAGGCGCTGGTGTTAAGCGCACAATGGTAACTGCCATCGAGTGTGTTTCAGCGAGTGGTGAGTATTTGAACCCTATGATAGTGTGGCCTGCCTCTACTCATCGGAGCAACTGGACGACTTATCCCACTCCTGGGTGGACCTATGCTTGCTCTGAATCCGGTTACAATGACTCTTACATTAGCTTGCAATGGATGCAACAAGTATTTGACCCTCAAACAATGGCACGGGCTAGGAACAAACCACGGATACTAATATGTGACGGATTTGGCACCCACGAGACTCTTGAGATACTTGAATTCTGCTTTGCCAACAATATTGTCCTTTGCCGACTCCCTTCGCATACTTCTCACAAGCTCCAGCCCTGTGACGTATCAGTTTTTGGTCCACTGAAAACGGCCTATCGGGATCAAGTAGAGCGATTGTATCGCGGAGGCGTGTCTGTAGTCAATAAAGAGCATTTCACAGCTCTGTATAGTCCTGCAAGGATTAAGGCAATGACCAAGAGGAATATCCTGGCAGGCTGGGCCAAAACTGGGCTATTTCCATTTAATCCAGAAAGGGTTCTCAGAGATATCACGAAACCACCTGCTACACTAACTATTCAATGCGGAGACCAAGTACGCTGTCAAGGTGAAGTGGTCCAGACCCCGGCAACGCCAACATCACCAAAAGCTCTTGCTGCCCTGCTCAGCCTCATCCAAGAAAATACCCAAAGCAGGGCACGCAATGAACATCAGCAGAGACTTGTACAGAAGCTCGCTAACGCTGCACAAACTTCTGTTGCCCGACACGCCCTTGACCAGAACTATATCGGGTTTTTAACCAAGGCAGCTAAGGAATCCGAAACCCGGAGAAAGACAAAATCAGATATTCTTGGGAGGGCGAGAGTAATGACCTACGAGGACATTGAGGCAGCGCGAGCAAAACGCGCGGAGGATAAGGCTGCCAAAGAAGCCAAAGGCAAGGGCAAGCGTGGGCGGAAGCCAAAGAGCGCTGAAACAGAAGAAGCTGGAGTGAAGACAGACAAGAAGAAACGTGGGAGGAAGCGCAAGCATGCTGAGCTAGATTTAGAAGCAAATGCGCCAGAGCCGGAGAGATGGACGATCCCAATTGCGCGCATGTGGTAGCGATACATACAGACTTATACCTAACTTAGCAGATCTTTACAAATTTATATGCTGTTGTTCTCGGCAATGCTCTCGTTGCTGCTGACTTCGTCTCCCAACTTGTCGCGAAGCAGATTCTGTGCAGCTGCATCGTCCATAGGCTCTATTGGTATGACATCGCCGTCCCCTACGATCTGCGTCGCCGCGCGTCTTGTCCGGCTGGTGACGAGGACTGAGCCGTGGCTGCTGGGAGGTAAGTAGCTTGAGATGCGCCGCTGAACACTGGCGCGGTTCGCTTTCGCACTCTGGCTGGAGATTGGAGAAAGGACACCCGTATTATCAGCATTGTCGAGCACTAACGGCCCATTCTTTCTGTTCCTAAGCCAGTCGTGGACTAGCTTGAACACGTCCGCATGCGGATCTTTGCGACCACGGATCTTGACCTGCTCTGCTCTAGCCGCGCCTTGTTGCTGGCCCAAAATATCCATGTCTCTGGTGACCGCTCAGCGGTGCGGTAGCAGTGCTCGATGGCTAGCTGCGACTTCCTGAATTGTATTAGATGCGAGTACTGCTCTGGGGTGCAGTTGACCTATCCATACCACCAAGACCTACAAGCGCGACTCGCGATGCCGGCGCAGCGCATCGTTTGCAGATCTGGTCGAGCAGTGTGCCTCGAGCGATGCAGTGCGGGTCGCGGCGGAACGGTACGAAGCACACAGGCTCTAGTGGAGTCTCTGGGCGGTCTAGTTAGTGGACGATTAGCGTAGCGCTGACGAAGGCGGGAGCGGCACTTGCCGGGAGCCCCAAAGTGAATAGCACCAGAGTTGTATCCAACCTGGAGCCCTAGATTGCCGTTGCCCGCGAATGTAGTGGTGATGCTGGGCAGGGCCATCGTGCAGCGGACGTGTGCAGATAAAGATGGAAGACATGTTCGTGCTTATCAGGCTGGATAGGACCTCACGTGGCTACGCAAGCCTACGGCGCAGCCTCACCGCAGCCTGATCAGCCTAGTCGCCGATGCTTCCTAACGGACTGTCTTTACGTAGTATCTAGGAGCAATGCTTGATAAAGAGAAGATAGATTGATTCTGTATGCGGATGCTCATCTATGATGCAGGCTCTCCTCACCAACCCGCTGACGTCGGTACGCTCAAAAAAGGGTGCGACATGGCGTTGCCTTGCGTTACCTTGAGCACGAAGACAGAACTTCAGTATTAGAGACCATGTATATCTTCAATAACTCTGCGATTCTATCTGCCTCATCTCGCATCGAGTATTCAGAAATGTCTTCAAATTCTTGCTTTAACGGGTCACAGAGACAGAAGAAGACCGTCTGGGTACGGCTATCGTAAACACAGTAATAGAGGCTAGGATCATTCTCCGTAGTTCTGTACAGGATGGCCTGAGAACAAACTTCTTTCGCGTTTTCAACTTTAGAATTTGCGCACGTGAGTGCTATGTAGAAGCAGCAGTTGCGCTAATTATAGATAACGACAACAATGACGTCCAGTGCGTCTTGTTCTGATTCGTCGGTGCAGATGGTATAGCGTTCTTGCCCAGCAGAGAGCTCGGCAACGCAATGGTTGACTAGATCGCAGAAGCTGCTTCTCTAAGATAAATATCACAGTGGCTCAGCTTAGGCAGCAAACATACCTTGACATTGATGGTCTCGTACGCTGGGTACTCAGAAGGGTTATGCGAGTCAGTTGATTAAACAAATACGGCTTAATTGAAAGAAGTTCCTGTATATATATTCAAATCATCTAAAATAGGAGCCGGCATATTGCGATGTCATACAACCGACGAATTTCAAGCCTCTGTTGCGTCTCTGCATCTAGCCGTTTGTTGAGGAAGCACAAGACGGAAGAGACAAACAACAAGTTAGCAAGACCTAAGCTAAAGCGGGATGGAAAGAAGCACATGAAACGGTTGGTATGCATTAAATTGGTAAGTGCAGTAACCTGAAGTATTATTCTAATTAATCACTGCTATGTCTTGTGAGGCAAACAAGACACAGTTCCTGCTACAGTGACACTATTCCTGTGTCTGCTTCTACTACTTTCAGCTGCTCCGTCCGAAAGTATTTCCGGATATGGCACCGGAATTGTGTCTAACCTGGAGACCAGTGTTGCCACTACTAGAGGAGACAGTGTGTTGGGACTTTCCAGTACTATCTGCAGCCTTTGTGATCGCCTGCTCCAGCAGTCTGTCCTGAGCGGCGGCTATCTCTCAACACAGAGATACCCTGGCCTTCTCCAATTGCGGATACTTCTATGTCACACAGCTCACGCTGGGACGGCAGGTAAACGCTAGAGTAGATCAAGCATCGCGTTGTTGGATGCTTCCTGTTTGCCCTACAACGTCGTAGAGGACAGTGCGCAGTCACACTACATACATTTACACTGTTTACTGTAAAGTAGCCTTCTAATTAGCCCTCAAACTACCGGAAGTCGCTAGAGCCCGGAGCAGTGATGGTGTCTCTGCATGGTCTAGCTACGTCTACTGAAAAAAAGAGGGTTCGAAGGAATCACAATCCCTGTCGGTATGTCCCACTAAAGCCAAGCAATTAATTGGCCATTGCCCCGCACTGCCTGCTGATTCGCGGTATTCTGACTAAGATAGACGTGCTTGTGTATTCTTTGTGGCAGGCCTATTGGTCCCCTCTTCTGCATAACATAACCTACGTTGACTCTGCAGTGCCCAACCGCAGCAACCCACTCAGCCTCACTGCACTCAAGATGAACGGCAACATCTCCAACACCTACGGGACAGCCCTACTTACGCTGGAGCAGTTGCTACACTCGCTACTGTCCCGACCACGCGCCGTGTCATGGATGGCCTTTCGGGAGCGGCAAGCGTGATAGCGGTCGTGGACCTGTCTGCCAAAGTCGCGTCGCTCTGCTACCAGTATTTAGCCACAGTCAAACACGCAAAGCGAGACATCGAGCGCCTCCACCAGAAAGTGACTGATGTCAAGAATGTCCTCGAAAAGCTCCAGCAGCTTCTAGATAAGCATGACAAATCGCAGCTCTCTACTACACACACATTACTGGACCCACTCCAAAGATGCTTCCAGGAGTTGAAAGATATCGAAGCTGCCCTCCAGGCTAAACTCTCTCCCAGCTCAGGCCGTAAAGCGATGCAAAGGTTCGGCATTCGAGCTTTGAAATGGCCGTTCACGAGCAAGGAGGTAGAAAAGACCGTTCAAAATCTCAAGGAGTATGAGAACACGTTCAGCCTTGCGCTCCAGATTGATCAGCTCGCGCTTCAAGTCGATCAAACGTAAGCTTATGCCCTCAGGCCTTCCGTGCAAGCGCAGTGTCTTACTGATCTTACAGAAATCTTGTTGTGGCTATAAACCAGAAACTAGACCTAACCAAACTGCCTATCGCGGCAGGCTCGTCCTTCGACTCGCATGCCGATGAACACAACGCACGATGTCTGCCTAATACCCGCACCGCGCTGCTGCACAGTATTACTGAATGGGCAAACCAAAAAGATAGCAAACCAATCTTCTGGCTGAGCGGCATGGCCGGCACAGGAAAGTCCACGATCGCGCGGACAATTGCCCAATCACTTTCCGAAGCCGGTCAGCTAGGAGCAAGCTTCTTCTTCAAGAAAGGCGAGGGCGAGCGCGGCAATGCGTCACGTTTCTTCAGCACCATCGCCAATGATCTGGTTGCTCGGGAACCCGGCATGCTACCTGATATCAGGAAAGCACTCGAGGACTCAGCTTTATCACAGAGGGCACTGAAGGACCAGTTTGAGAAACTCATATTGCATCCGCTCTCGGGGGTGCAACAGCCACGCTTGATTGCCACCGCGTTGGTAGTAGTTATTGACGCATTAGACGAATGCGAGAGGGACGAGGATATTCGAGCTATACTCCAGCTTCTTGCACGCACCAAGGACATGCGACCAGTCTCGTTACGAATCTTAGTAACTAGCAGACCAGAGCTCCCTATTCGCCTGAGCTTTAAGAAGATGCCAAACGGAACATATCAAGACCTTGTTCTTCACGAAGTCGCAAAGGACACTATTGAACATGACATACGACTCTTCTACGAGCACGAGCTCAGTGCGATACGGCAAGCACGCATGCTTTCTACAGACTGGCCGACGGCAGATCAGGTCCAGGCCCTTGTCGAGATAGCTGTGCCGCTGTTCATCTTTGCCGCTACCGTGTGCCGGTATATCAGCACGAAAGGAGGTGACCCGGAAGATTATCTAGACAAGGTGCTGCAGTATCAGAAGTCCAACTTCTCACAGCTTGACCGAACCTACCTTCCTGTATTAGACCAGCTGCTAGTTGATCAGGAGGAAGACGAGAAAGACGCTTGGCTGCGCGTATTTCGAAACATTGTGGGCAGCATTGTTCTTCTAGAAAGCCCACTCTCCATTGCATCACTTGCACGTCTCCTGCAAGTTCCACAGAAGAAGATACAGTATCGGCTAGACGCATTGCACTCTGTTCTTAGCATCCCTGATACTGACAGGGCCCCTGTTAGGCTGCTTCACTTGTCTTTCCGCGACTTCCTCGTCGGACATCAAAGACAAAGTATGAGCCGGTATTGGGTAGACAAGAGAGCCACACATAAGGACTTGGCATCCCGTTGCCTTGAACGTATGTCCGGCACAGACGGCTTGCGACAGAACATGTGCAGCCTCCAGCCAGGTACGTCACGAAGCGGAGTTGACGAAGTACAGATTGCGAGCTGTCTGTCACCTGATCTGCAGTATGCATGTCGCTACTGGGTCAGTCATCTTCAGCAGAGTCAGCAAGTCGTTGTTGACGGAGACACAACGCACCTTTTCCTACAGAAGCATTTTCTGCATTGGCTTGAAGCTCTTAGCCTTATGAGAGAGCTAAGCAGATGCGTTCATCTACTGAACAGCCTTAAGAAGCTTGTAGATGTAAGATGTTAAAGTCTGTTTTCGAACTATGCTAACGTATCCCGCAGCCATCTCCAAGTTCAGTTTCCAACTTTATACTGGACGCTGAACGATTTGTACTGCGGTTCCAGTCTACGATAGCAGACGCTCCACTGCAAGCCTATTGCTCTGCGCTTGTGTTTGCGCCGGAGATGAGCATAATACGACGAACATTTAACGACCAAGTGTTACTAGGGGTCTGGATGGTGACAAAGAGGGAAGAAAATTGGGACGCGTGTCGCAGCACGCTGGAGGGCCATTCTAACTCGGTCAACGTGGTGGCCTTCTCGCCGGATGGGCAGCTGGTTGCGTCGGCCTCTGCTGACAACACCGTCCGGCTGTGGGAGGCGGCCACGGGGACGTGTCGCAGCACGCTGGAGGGCCATTCTAACTGGGTCAGGGCGGTGGCCTTCTCGCCGGACGGGCAGCTGGTTGCGTCGGCCTCTCGTGACAACACCGTCCGGCTGTGGGAGGCGGCCACGGGGACGTGTCGCAGCACGCTGGAGGGCCATTCTGACTGGGTCAGCGCGGTGGCCTTCTCGCCGGACGGGCAGCTGGTTGCGTCGGCCTCTGGTGACAACACCGTCCGGCTGTGGGAGGCGGCCACGGGGACGTGTCGCTGCACGCTGGAGGGCCATTCTAACTCGGTCAACGTGGTGGCCTTCTCGCCGGACGGGCAGCTGGTCGCGTCGGCCTCTCGTGACAACACCGTCCGGCTGTGGGAGGCGGCCACGGGGACGTGTCGCTGCACGCTGGAGGGCCATTCTGACTGGGTCAGCGCGGTGGCCTTCTCGCCAGACGGGCAGCTAGTCGCGTCGGCCTCTGGTGACAACACCGTCCGGCTGTGGGAGGCGGCCACGGGGACGTGTCGCTGCACGTTGGAGGGCCATTCTGACTCGGTCAGCGCGGTGGCCTTCTCGCCGGACGGGCAATATATTGAAACAGATCGAGGTAAAATTCCTCTAGACCCTCCTATTGCGCCATCGCCTTTCACTTGTAGATCGCAACCGTCTTACATATTTATACAAGACCAGTGGATCTTTTTAGGTCAACAGCGGCGGTTATGGCTTCCTCCTGAATATCGACCGACTTGCTCTGCAGTCAACGATAATCTGGTCCTCTTAGGACATTCTTCAGGACGGACTACCATTTTTCACTGCTCTGCTACATAGGCCTTTGATAGGCTTTTCTATCTTGTGTTTTTTTTTTTCATAATCTCTATTTCATAGAGGGGGCCGGGGAGCAGCAAATATTTATATTCGTTTTCACATCTATCGCTAGAAACGTTCTAGAAAGTACGCTTGCTACACTGGGACAGACGTCAATTGTAATTATCTTTGTGACACACGATGTCTGATAGCGGACGGGTTAGTTAACAGCTAGCGTAATGTACTGTATATTTAAGGTTATGCAATTACGCAGGCAAGCAGGAGGTTTGACGCTAGCTGAAAGTAGCAGGTGCGCAATGCAGAGGTACCAACTAGGATCGCCATGCTGCATTGTTCCGCGCGCCATAGCAGCTACAAGGCTAATACGGCTGCCAGGCGTTAGTGTAAGGCTCTGAGGCTCACAAGAAGCTTATAATTCACTATATCGCAGGCGGTAAACCTGTCGCGTTAAGGCTGCACTAATCAGTCTCTCTTACGCTGTAGGAGATGGCCCTCGATAAAGAAGTCTACAAAGGTGGCAAGACATGTGTATTTTTTAACTTAGAGGGGTATTCCATGCTCAGGAATAGCTGCTATAAACTATCCTAGAGTAGGAGAAAGTTATTTCGCTGCGTGTGCAAGAGCCCGTTGGGATGAAGTCGAAGTACCCGCCATTTGTTCCGCTACAGGGGTTGTTCCGTTTCGCTTGGATTCACGTTAACAGTATACGTCTCTATTAATCATGTTCATCGGTGCAGCTAAAATAATCTTCACCTACCTACAAAAGCCTGCGGGACAATCTAAAGATATTTTATAGTCCAGGAATGTAGTCCGGATTTATCCGGCAAGAGAGGCCGTGAACAGCTCTTGGCAGGCGACTTGACACTTGACCTACAAGGCTTAGCGTATGCTGTCTAAGTAATGTAATTCACACACGCATCCGAAAATTGACGCAATCCGCACAGCCACGTGTGATCGCACGTTAGCCCGAACTGGTGGTTTGCTTCCGCCGGAAGTACCTATCGACGGGGCGGCGCTGCATGAGATCGCGCCCCGCAGCGCGCATAGGGCTGATGATCGACTTAGGAGGGAGGTGGTAAGGCTAGGATAAGGCTATTCTACCAAAACTTGGAGCGAAAAAGGCTTGACATTAACTTACTTCAGATATGCATTAATTTAAAGCTATTTGTGATATATCACAGACACTATAGCTTCTGCTCTCTGTAACGCACTGTTCCTATTCCAAAATCACCTCTAATTACATTGCTTCCCTAGCGCCTGCCTTCCAGACAAGTCAAACAGATCTTGGTGGAGAGGACGAGCATGAAGGTCTTGGGCAGATACTGGACCTAGCGCTAGCCTGCTCTAAACTTAGCGTGGAAGACCAAGCCCGAAACAGAAACCACCCCTTGAGCGGCTCCACCTCCAATGATCACTCCACATGCGACCCTACTGTAGCGAAAGTAGTAGTGTAGCAGCGGCTAGGGCTGAGACGGGCCCCAGATCTGGTCCTCCGCTCGATCTGCACGCTTCTCAGTCGCAGAGAAGAAGCGGCTACGCCCCACCGTCTCATGCCCGCCTGCAGCAACTTTGTTGGCCCCCCACCTTGCACAGCAGACCTCGAGCTAGCCACTAATTGCCAACAACACCCCAGCTGAATGATGGCAGAGGCAGCAAGGCAAACCTGGCGGTTGCAGCTCTTTCAGCTGGTCCAGCCTGGCCTTCCCTCTTCCCCCTTTCATAATCTGGTCAACCTCGCTGCTGGTCTCTATTCATCACGCGAATAATCTTAGCAGCTGTCTTACAGCTATAACAAACGTCGAGAGCTCAGCATGTCGAAGAAGGAGGTCCGCCTGCTCGCGCTCGACGGTGGCGGGGTGCGCGGCCTGTCAGCGCTCATGATCCTCGAGCAGCTTATGGAGGCTGTCAACCTAGACGATCCGCCGAAGCCGTGCGACTACTTTGACATGATAGGTGGGACGAGCACGGGAGGGTATGTCGTTGTGGTTCTTGGAATGAGTGGGTGTCAATCTACTGACCAAATGCTTGACCAGGCTGATCGCGGTCATGCTCGGCCGGTTGAAGATGAGCATCGACGAGTGTATCGACGCATACCTTTCGATTATGGACAGAGTGTTCAAGAAGAAGCAGCATAGAGTCACGATCAAGGGCAAGCTCCAGGGGAGATTCGACTCAGACGAGCTGGCGAGAGCTGCGAAAGAGGTTATCACGGCACGGGGTCTCCAGGAAGATACCCTGCTGAAAGACGCTGCTGACGCTCCGTGCAAAGTGTAAGTGTAGCTTGGTGCTCACCCGTGTTCGTGTTGTTCTTGTTCGTAAGAGATAACGAAAGTTGCCCAGCTTCGTGTGCGCGACGAGCAAGGAGACGAGCGAGACAGTGTGCTTGACAAGCTACAAGAGTCCTCGCAGCGGCAATGACCTCCTGAACAGCGTTAAGATCTGGGAGGCGTGTCGAGCTACGTCCGCGGCCTCGTCCTTCTTTGACCCGATCGCCGTTGGTCGGTATAAGGAGGAGTTTCTAGATGGCGGCACAGGCGCAAACAATCCGATCATGGAGGTGTGGAATCAGGCGCAGCTGCTGTGGGGTCCTGAGCCGTTGGAGGGCAAGGTGCGATGCGTCGTCTCGATAGGAACGGGGGTACCATCCCTAAAGCCTTTCGACGACGACGTGCTGCACATAGGTGGGACGCTGGTTGCGATGGCTACTGAGACTGAGCAGACTGCCGAGAGGTTCCGACGAGATAAGGCATACTTGGACGACAGCAATCGATACTTCCGCTTCAACGTGGCGCATGGGCTGGAGGAGGTCGCCCTCGACAAATCAGACAAGAAGAAGGAGGTGGCAGCGGCAACACGGCGATATATGACATCACAGGAGGTGTATAAGCAGATGCAAACGTGTGCAGGCAATCTTGCAGGCAAAGAATGTTAGTTTTGTTGTATACAGACTGTCCTGGCTAGGCACAGCTGACCACCTTTCGTAGACATGGGAGAATATCGAGTTGATTTCAGTCTTCAAGGTGTTCTACAAGCGAGAGAATTCATTGACAGGCCAAGTGAGATGCGAGCGCTCGAGCAAGCACTACTACCTCGGAGGGGTAACAACCGCCGAGCGACGTTTGTGCTGTACGGACTAGGCGGGATCGGGAAGACGCAGCTTGCTGTGGAGTTCATGCGACGTTACCAACGTGCCTTCAGCTGTGTATTCTGGCTCGATGGAAGCAGTCAAGACAGCCTGCAGCAAGGCATTGCGAGGAACGCAAGCAGGATTCCCGACGGCCAGATCTCGCAGACTAGTAAACAATATGCCGAGACGAGAGAGGGTGATATTCAGGTAGTGGCGAGAGAAGTGCTTGCTTGGCTTGCCCTTCCCGATAACAGCCGCTGGCTGGTCGTATTTGACAACGTTGACCGAGAGCATGGGCAACACGTCGCAGATCCTTTGGCGTACGATGTTCGGCTGTACTTTCCCGCCGCCGACCATGGATCTGTCCTCATCACGAGTCGACTGGCCAGGCTGGAGCAGCTCGGAACATCACAGCATGTTACTAAAGTTGATGAAGGAACTGCGCAGGCGATTCTCAGCAGCTGGTATAAGAAAAGCCATGGTGAGGACCAGTCATCGGTACTTGATATGTCTCCAAGCTGATCATCCATCCTTAGACCCGAACAAAAGTAAGCCGTTGCTTGACCTCCTTGACGGCCTCCCGCTGGCCATCGCGCAGGCCGGCGCGTACCTGCAAGAGACTGGTGTTGGATTTGAGAAGTATGTCGAGTTCTACGAGCAGCAGTGGGCGGAGTTGATCGGGCCGGAGAATCAGCCCGAGATGCCACTTCAGGAGTATGGGGGGCGCAGTGTTTGGACGACATGGGCTCTTTCCTACGACGCCATTTGGAGGCAGAGTGAGGCTATAGCCAAGCTGCTGTTACTGTGGTCGTGCCTGAACAATCAAGACATGTGGTATGGATTGTTTAACAAGGCTTGTGGGTCGAACGCCGAGGTAGCTGCAAAGGTGTCTGACTGGATCGGGAGCCTGGGAAGCAATGAAATGAAGTTCGTGCAGGCGATGCGGCTGCTCCGGAACTATTCGATGATTGAGGAGGTGGAAGGCACGGCGAGCTATACGACTCATCCAGTGGTGCACAAGTGGGCGAACCACTATGGCTGTCGAGAGCATGGTGAACAGCTAGCTGAACTTGCAGTTCTTCTTGTCGGATGGGCTGTCCCAAACAAGTCGAGTCGTGACTATATGGCCTTGCAGAAGCGACTCCTACCTCATGCTTTAGTGTGTACTCGGTGGACTATGAATGTTGCGGCTCTATGCGTTCCCAGAGAAAGCCGAGTACTCGGTGCGATCGATTTGCTCGGTCGGCTCTACGCGGACCAGGGCAA